AAATTGGGAGGCTGGGACATGTTTCTGATGTTACTGGCTCCAGCTGTCATTTTCCCTGCTTTCTAGGTGATGAGATTTGTTCTTGTCTTCTGGGTTATTGTATGGTGCCCAGAACAGTGCAGCTAATCCTGGGTAGACATTTCCTTCACAGCTGTCCCATCAGCTCAGTCACTTACACTCGTCATTTCAGATATCCCTTTGACCCCTTTCTATTTCCACAGCTAAGAAAAGTGCACTTTTTGTTTTTCATGGCCCTGGCTATTCTGGAACTCACTCTGTAGACCAAGCTGGCCTCAAACTCACAGAGATCTGCCTGCCCTGAGTGCTGGGATTAAAGGTGTGCCCGACTACTGCCTGGTAAGAGACATATATGTATATGTCCTTTTCTGGACATATACATCCTGACATGGGGGAGGAAAATTGGTTGTAAGAGCTCTGCCACTGATCAGCTCTCTAGCCCTTAGGTTTTTGTTTTTGTTTTTCTTTTTTGGTAACTTTATTTTGAACAGTCCTACCAAGTTGCCCAGGTGGACCTTGAACTGGAAATTCTTCTGCCTCAGGTACTCAGGTAGCTGGGATTATAGGCCTGAAGCCACTAGATGAAGCTATCACTTACCTTTTAAAAATTAAGAAGTCTCTTTAATTTCTTGGGGTTGGAGAGATGGCGCAGTGGTTAAGAGCACTGGCTGCTCTTCTAGAGGACCTGGGTTCTATTCCCAGCACCTACGTGGCAACTCACAACTGTCTGTAAAGCCAGTTCCAGGGGATCCAACATCTTCACACAGACATACATTCAGGCAAAAACTTGAAGGCACATAAAATAAAAAATAAACATCGAAGAAGCTAAAAAAAGAAAGAAATCGAAAGAAAGAAAGAAAAGAAATCAAAAGAAAGAAAGAAAGAAAGAAAGAAAGAAAGAAAGAAAGAAAGAAAGAAGGAAAGAGAAGTCCCCCAAATGTTTAAAAACTAGGGGCTGTTGAAATCTCTAGTTTTGATAATATAATAAAATAGTTATGTAGCATTCTGGCATTCTGCTCATGGTTTTTATTTTAAAGAAATGAAGCATCACAAACAGTTAAAATCCTTTCTCTTCTCTTTGCTGGTCCCATTCTGTTTCCCTCCTCCCTCCCAGAGACACCAGAATTATACACCAGAATTGCTGTGTATAATTTGTACTCATGTTTTCGGTGTTGTTGTTTTTTAACACTTGCATGTGTGCACATGGGGAAGCTGGAAAACAACCTCAGGTGTTACCCTCAAGAACTCTGTCATCTGAGGCAGTGCCTCTTATTGACCTGGAGTGTAGCTAGGCTAGACTGGCTGGCTGGCGGCTTCAGGAAGTCTCCTGTCTCTGCCTGTAGGGGAAGCTGTAGCCACGCCTACTTAGGAGTGGTCAGACACACTTGTAGCCAGCCCCTAAGTAGGCGTGGCTATAGCTTCCCCTACATCTGCCTTCCCAGCATTGGAATTAGAAGCATTTTTCCCATGGGTTCAGTGATCTAACTCAACTACTCCCACTTCCGGGGCAAGCACTTCCCAGCGCAGTACCCACACTGTTATACTTTGAATATCTATGCCTCTGCCTCCTGACTGCTGGGACTCAAGGAGTGTGGTACCATGCCCGGCTGAAGATAATTTTTTTTAAAGTTTAAAATATAAACTGTATGCTTTGGATTTCAGTTTACAGCTTACATTTACTTATTTATTTACTTCCCCCACCCCAGAGCTTTGATTTTTATTACTTAAAAAAGCTGTGCTTGTGCCTTCAACACTTCCCCTAAGGAGGCACACTTGATCTTGTCATGGACACACTTAGCACACGTAGAACCGCTGTAGGCCCTGCTGATGTGCGTGTTTGTTTTAGATAGCCTCATATGGACTTGAGGCCTTACAGCAGGAACCCCCTCACTCCATATTCGGATTTAGTGCTCTCCCAGCCTTCTTGGTGTGAAGATGAACAATCCTGTTGCCAGGGGTTCAAAATAGCCTAGTTTTGTCAGAGGCTGTATTGTAGGAAAGCCAATGATGGTATGTCAAATGCTGGACCATTCTGAGTTCCATTCCCAGGAGAGGAAAAAGAAAGAACAGCTATTTATTTACTTATATATTTGTATGTGTGCATTTGTGTCTGTTTTAGATAAGGACTCACTGGCTTAGAACTAAACTCCTTCTGCCTCAGTTCCCCCAAGTGCTGGTATTACAGACACAGGCCACTGTTCTCGGGTTGCAGCTTCCTTTTGTCACTCAGCACTGCTGTTGAGATATATTCATGCCAATGTATATAGATCAAATCCATCCATTTGAAATGTTCATTGTGAGGATAAAATAAGTCCATTTGACAGGTGTGTAGCTTTTTCCCCTCCTATTTTGCTATTGAAATTATAGTGAATGTCCTCATATGTGTCTACTTATATGACAGTGTCTAGAATTTTGTTTGAACTTTTCAAGGGACGTGCATGTCCCTGAGGGACATTTGAGAATTTGTGAGGCCATATTTAGTTATTATTGTGGTTAGAATATACCAGAGAGCTGAGAATGTTAGGTGTGCAATGTTGGGACAGTCCTCAAATGAAGAATTGCCTTGCATCTTGTGCAACTTTCCAGTGTTCTCTTTTTTTTTAATTTTTAAATATTTTATTTATTTATTATGTATATAGTCTTCTGCCTGCATGATCTCATTCAAGGTGGTTGTGAGCCACCATGTGGTTGCTGGGAATTGAACTCAGGACCTCTGGAAGAACAGTCAGTGCTCTTAACCACTGAGCCATCTCTTCAGCCCCTCCAATGTTCTCTTTTAATAAGTATCTTGGCCTAGAACCTAACACCATTTGTGTGTGTGTGTGTGTGTGTTAACATAATGTAATTGTTGGCACAGTTTAATAAAGTGTAATTTCCAGGAATGTAAATCAAGGGAAAATTATACTGATCTGTGGTTTGGAGCTTTAACAAGACTTGTTCCTCAGTCTAGAAAAATCATGTAACTGAAGGGCAGCACAGCTCGTGGTATTTGAGCTGCCAGCACAACACACCTGCATAGTGTGCACGTGGCACTTTCCCACTTGTGGAGATTCTAAGTTTAGGTGCAAGCATCTGGCTACTGTACTTCATTATGTATTCTAGTGTAGTCAGCCTGAACATTCATATATTTAAACATATGCTGTTCCATTATGAATTACTTCCACTAAAAATCGACTTCTGTACATGCTACAGAGTAGAGGTCGAGTTTTATTGTTCTCTGGTTAGATAATCGTTCACGTTACCACCACTGTGAAACCCTTTACACACTGGGCCATGAAGCCATCTTCTTCCTAGGGAGTACAACCTTCTCAGGAATACACAGATCTGTGTCTGAGCTTTCAGTTTTCATGCTTGTGGTCCATGTGTCTTTGTCCCACTGTTTTAATTACCTTGGTTTCATAATGTGTCTGTGGCAGTTGGTGACAAGAAAGGCACGCTGCCATTCCTAGTTCTCAAGTGCTGTTGGCTATTCTTGGCTCTTTACTCCTGTGTGAATTTGGGATTCATTTTCCAGTTCCTTAAAGTATTTTTGGATTTTGGTTAGAATTGCACTGAATTTTTACGTTAGGAAAAATTGAGATTTTTTTTTTAATTAAGCCAACTCATCTAAAAGCAGAAGTTACTTCTCTACACAGCCTGCTTTACCCCACTGTCCGGGTACTTTTAAAAGGCCTTTTCATGAAGCTGCAAAATTTTAGCTACAAAAAAGTCTTACAAATATCTGTTGTCGTTAATCATACTTGCACATGTATGAACGTGCATACATATTTTTATTATGCAAGTTTGAACTCCATTCAAAATGTTAAGAAAGTGCTGAAATCAACATCTACTCACCTATCACCCAGCTTCGGGAGCTACCTCATGACCAGTCTGTTTCATAACAGTCCCTTATCCCCACCCCCAGCCCCTAAATATCATGAAATGCCTGGCACAGTGTTCTGCTGTCTGGAGTGTGGTGTGTGTGTGTGTGTCTGTGTAGATTCATGTGCCATAAAGAATCTATACCTTTATTTTTAATTTTAAAGGGGATCTATACCTTTTAGAAAGTATATTTCACTTTAACTATTCAATGACCATTTCATAAAAGGATTTGTAGGTAAGTGTAACACAATAGAAAATGGCACAAACCCCAAGTATCTATAGCTAGATACTGATCACCAGAGTTACAAAGCCAGGTAACCAACACCCAGATCAAAAACCAATTTTATCATCAGTGCCCCATCCAGTCACTCAAGGTACCCTGGAGCAGTTGTACCTGTTTTTGAACATCATATAACTGGAGTCTACAGTGAGCTTTTTATTCTCTCCTTCACTTAATGCTTGTGAAACTCACCTACATTGTTGGATGTAATTGTAATGTATTCATTTGTATTGCTTTATACTGTCATTTGTATGATTGATTGTGTGCATAATGCTCTACATTTTTATGGACTCTCTGCCATTGACCTTTTGGCTATCTGGTAGATATACATAGAGATACTTCATTTGATTTTTATTTGCATTTTTCTGGTGACTAATGAGGTAAGGACCTTTACCTATATTGGCCATTCAGCTATCCTCTGTATGATGTTTATGCTCGTTTTTTGTTTTTTGTTTTTTCCAATCTATCTCTGAAATAGTAGTAAAATCCATTAATTTGGGCTTGCCAGTTATTGTGGTGCTTTTGTCTCTTTTGACTTTGTTGTTAGGTTCATATTTCCTTCAGGTTACATCTTCTTTGGTTAAATCATTCCTTTCAAAACTGTTCTTACTGATAGTTTCAAATCTTTCCATGTATTTTCTTGTTACTAATACTGGTCCTCTAGCTTACATTTTATTTTGCTTTGCCCATTGGTGGCAGACCACACACGGTGACGGTTTCCCATCCTAATCATTGGAAGCATGCAGTCCGGCAGTGCTCAGTGTTTACATTACTGGGAAGCAGATCTCCAGAGCTTTCATCCTGAAGACTCAAACTCAGTGTTTATTGTCATTGCCCCCAGTTCCTCCTTTCCCTGTATTTGCTTGGCTAGTATCTGCCTCGTATATCTTTTTCCAATTCAGCTTTTCATCTTCTCATTTGTGTTTTCTGTCACTTTTGTAAACAGCTACTTTTATCTTATTTTTTTTATTTATTTTTAAATATGGAACACTTCTCAAATTTATGTGTCATCTCTGCGCAGGGGCCATGCTAATCTCCGTATCGTTCCAGTTTTAGTGTGTGTGCTGCTGAAGCAAGCACTTTTATTTTTCATAATCCAGGATGAGCATCTTTCAACAGTCAAGTCTGGGGTGCTTACATTTACTATGAGTCCATGATTACGGCTGCATAATAAATGTAAAATAAAAATTTGATATTCCATGTGGTACAGAGGCTTACACCTAGGGCCTCATTTGTGATAGGCATGTGCTCTACCATTGACCTGTATCTCCCAGCCTATTTCATATTTATTTCTTCTTCTGAAAATTTGTGTGTTGGTTGGGTGTGAGTTTATGTATGTGTGCAGGTCTATATGCAAGTGGTAGAAGCCAGAGGTCAATGCCAGGTGTCTTCTTTGATTGCTTCTCTACCTTACTTTTCAGACAGGATTTCCCACTGAACCTGGAGTTCACCAGTTGACTAGACTGGCCAGCCAGTGAGCTCCAGGGCCCTCCTTTCCACTTGCTGGATCACAGATGGACACCATTGCCTTTACATGAGCACTGGAGATTGGAACTCAGGGCCTCATGCTTGTGCCACAGACACTTTGCCAACTTAACCACCTCCCCAGGTCCCTCATATTTATTCTTGAAGAAGCCTTGTATGCCTGCTGAGTGGTGTCCCCAACAGTGACTTTAGTTAGTCTGTTGGGGATCTTGTAGGCTTTTCATTTTTATTGTAGTTTCTGTAGTTAATTGTAGTTATTTTTTGTGGTTATTTATTTAGTTATTGTATTTATTCAGTTATTCTGTACTTTATTGTATATGGAGTTTTCATTGAGTGGCCAGCTCACACACATACAAAACAATGACACAGAGACTTATATTGATTATGAAAACTCGGCCTTAGCTTAGGCTTGTTTCTAACTAGCTCTTATAACTTAAATTAACCCATTTCTATTAATTTACTTTCTGTCACGTGGCTTTATTACCTCACCTCTGTACTGCCCATCCTGCTTGCTGTGCGTCTCTGGCATCTCCACCCTTTTCCCAGCATCTTCACTGTCTGGAAATCCTGCCTCGCTATTGTCCATTCTGCTTTTTATTAAACCAATCAGAGTGACACATCTTCACAGTGTACAAAAAGATTATTTCACAACAGCTTATCCGCTTATTGTAGTTAATCTTTCTACTAGGAATCCCACACAGCCTGCTAGTGGGACCCTAACACTCTGCTTGTAGGTAATATAGGGTTAGGATTCAGATTTCTCTCTAGTTGATGTTTTGTTTATTTGTTTGTTTTGTTTTTGTTTTTGTTGTTGTTGTTGTTGTTTTTTGTTATAGCCTGAGTCACTTGGCCTGCTCTCTTCAACTAAGTTTCTAGTAGATTTTTCAGAGTCTACTCAAACACTACTTGAACCTTTGAGGGACCAGTGTTATAGATTGTTCTCTCCTTGGTTCTAGTTTTATGCACCATGGGCTGAGATCTCACTGGAGGAGCCCTAATCTTAGGCCTCCATCTCCAGTCAGGGCCACTGTGGACTTTGAGCCCAGCCCCTGCTTACCCATCAGGCTTTGGGTGTACATTAAATTCAGAGCACTTTAGATGTTACCATTTTACATGTTAAGGTTTTAAAAACTCCATTTTGCTAGTCACTTCCACTGTTCTGTGAGGAACTTACCTTGTTAGCCCCATGCAACATATTAACCAGAAGTTTCCATCATCTTTCTATACCTTGCTATATGATCTTATCACCCTTCACTTGAATTTTACAGACTCGCCAGTATGGCGTCACTTATTCATCAGCAAATACTTGTTACACATAATCTTTATGCTGAGAACCGGGGATGGCAGGGTGGGAAAAATAGTTTCTGTCCTCAGGGGTGTATTTTCTTAATAAGGGAGACAGAAAGTGAACTTGTAAGCAAATGGATAGAAATGTTAACTGTGGAGGCTGAGGCAATAGCTCAGTAGCATAGAGCATTTGCGTGGTGTGCAAGAGCCTGAGTTGTTACCCACAGTTGGGGAAGAGCGCTCTGGAAGAAAGAGGGAGACACTAATGCTTTTGGAGAGTTACTGTAGATGGAAAGTCAGGGAAGGGCTCTCTCAGGATGACATTCTTCTGATGAAGCTACAATATCAACCACGAGGAAAGGTCAACCCAGTCACACAAATAACCAAATAGCAAGCTCCTTGTTGTGGGCCAATGGTTGAATCCTGCCTGAGAAACAGCAAATACAAAGTCCTAGAGACAGGGAAGTACTTGCCCTGCTACAGTTACTGACATGATACTCACTGGGCTCTAATGAGGACAGAGGGCTCTGCAGGAAGGACAGAGGCAAGTGGGCGCTCCCCTACTCCACCATCCTGCCACACTGATTCCTTCCCAAGTATGCTAGCATTAGCTTCTCCCTTAACCTTTTCAAAGCTCCTGATGCTCTTTGTTTTTGTCACAAATGAAAATATAATACGGATAGCTGTTTGCATCACATTGTTCTCTAATAGACCATCAGCTTTGGCTGGGATACATATCTTTTTTTTCCTTTGTCATCCTAACTAGGAGCACGATGTTTTCCATGGTGGGCATAGCACCGTGTTGACTGAATCAACTTTTTTCCTTTTTCTTTTTTTTTCCCCCCCAGTTCATGCTTAGAGTCTCTTCCAGTAAGCTTACAACAGGACACAATATATTTCCATTGTGTTTAAATCACCAGGTAAAGAAGCCCAGAAACTTCAGGAAGAATCTGTTTCCTGAAGATTTGTCTCTGGTACTGAAAAGGAAACTCAGGGAGATGCTCTAGGATGGTGTTACCTCGTTATGTGGACTGAATAGTACCCACCAAAAGATGTCCACACCTAACTTCCAGCATCTGTAAATGTGATTTGATTTGACAAAGGGATCTTTGCACGTGTGACTGTGGGACCTTGTCTGGTGATGATGGGCGACAGAAGACAGAGAGGAGAAGTGTCATGTGGGGACAATGACAGTTACAGGAGGCTTGTAGCCAGAGAGACCCTGGAGTCACCAGAAACTGGGAAACCTAAGAAAGCATCTTGGCTTAGACCCTATGGGGGTGTGTTGCCCCATGGACACCTCTACTGTAGACCTGTGCTCTCAAGAATTGAGAACAAACTCCTTGTGGTGTGAGCCTCAATTAGGTAACCGACACTAACTTGCCTCTCGTGTAGCTCAGATGTAATAGTATGTTTCTGATTGCCATGACTAAACATGCCAGGTCTAGCAAAGCACTTAGCGTATTGTGAGTGCCCCAAAGGGTGACATCTGTTTTTAGGGACTGGGAGTTTTCTTCCTTCTGTGAATAAGTACTTGACAACAGAATAAAATTTCTACCTTGTGATTGCCTGCTGAGTCCAACTTCATACCTCAGATTTAACTGAAGTTTCAACTTCTGTATTGGCTCTGCAGCCTTCTGAGAGCCTTTGGTTAGGATTTCTGGATGGAGAAAGCTCAGATTTCTAATGTGAGCTCAGGTAGAAGTCAAAGTAGAGCTGACGAGACCAAATTTGAACTGACAACCTCACCCCAGCCCCTAGATCCTCTACCCCTATTCCTACACAAAGAAAGCTTTGGGATCTATGTTCCTGGTTTTCATTAAGGGACTCTGGGGCTGGACATTCCTGAAAATTAAAGACCCATCATGAGTGAGCCTCCAGACATATACTGGTCATCGACTTCCTCATATTTAGTTCAGGCTCTCTGTGTAGTCTCTGTGCAGTGGGGTGGGGGTGGGGTTCAGCCAGAGGCTAATGCTTCTCTCTGTCCCCTAGGATGGCTGGCATGGTTCTGGGAGTGGGTGCTGGCGTGTTCCTCCTCGCTCTGATCTGGGTCTTGGTGCTGCTGCTGTGTGTGCTGTTGTCCAGAGCCTCTGGGATAGCTAGGTAAGGCATTCTTTCCAGTCTGGAGTCCTAGGTAAAAGCAATTAGAGGCAAAAATCGCTGATGCTCATTAAACATTTAGAATTCAGAAGATCATTTTTGTAATTACTGGCAGTTTGAATGAGTTGCATTTTAACCTCTTATCATAAGCACTAACTGTGTTATTTATGCTCAGGCAGAGGCGGGAGGAGAATGGAAGTGTGTTTCAGTTCTCACTGTGGAGGGGATGGGGAAGACCGGAGATGACAAGAAAATCTGCTTTGACTGCTATTGAGTTCCTTGGGAGTTGTAGGTGGAAGTTTTATCTAATTGTTCAGATTTATGACACATGCTTGGTCTAGTTCTTAAGGCTCTAGCCTGGGCCTGTGGACACTGACATTACAGTGAGTTGGCCTGGCCCTCTGTGTCAGGCTATGACCTAACTCTGGAAACACTTGAGATACACTCTCTGGGAGGATCAAGTCAGTAATAAACAGAGAGCTACAGTATTTACTGAAATGTTCTGGTCTGAAAATAACAGAAGTGTGTGGGGGATGGAGGAGGTGTGTGTGTGTGTGTGTGTGTGTGTGTGTGTTTGTGTGTGTAGAAAACCATAAATTCCCATTGTTAGAAATTTGGAATTACCAGAAATAAACAGGAATGTACCCAGGTGGTATGTGTCTAGAAAGTAAGTCTTTGGGTGGAGGACTTTGTGACCTTAAGGGACTAAAATATAGAATGCTGACCCCAGGGAGGAGCCAGCACAGGCCCAGCTGATGAGAAGTTGACTGTCATCAGTGCTTTTAATACTCAGGTCTCTTTGCCCCCAGGTTCTCCATCATCTTTATCTTCCTCGGTGCTCTGATCATTACTATAGTTCTGCTGCTTTTCCCTCGAGCCAGTGAATTCCCAGCCCCAGAGGTTGAAATGAAGGTAAAGCTAGTGGGTTTCATTTTGCCCCTAACCTCAGCTTCCTCCATCCTTCCCTGTGACCTGCTCAAACAATGACGGGGCTCCAAGGGAGTTGCAAAGCCCCTGTCCCTTTACCCTGGGAAAGGGTCTTTCCTACCTGCAGCACCACGAGGCAGTGATTCACCGGGTGTACTGTCATCTGCTGCTTGCATAGAGTTGAAGGACAGTGTGGAAAGCCACTCCTTACCACGGAGACAGAAAGAGAAGAGTTGGGACCCTGGAACTGGCATAGGCCTTTAGTGTGGTATTCCCCATTCCTGGTAGCCTTGGTTCAGAATCTCAGATCCTGGGTCTCAGGGTGTTGAGTGACATGATTTTCCATCCTCTGAAGTTGACTTTTTCCACTTGTGGTGTCAAGAGAATCATTTCCATCAAGAATAGTGGGCAAGGGGAGCCTTTCGGGGGAAGCGGAAGGGGACGTTGCAGATGAGTCCTTATTGCTTAGACCACATCCGCCAGCCTCGACTTCTGTAAATCCATTTGCATCACCTCTCTCACTGTCCCATTTCTGCAGACCTCACCTGTTCTGGTTCCTTCCTGATATGGGGCTCCAGTTCTACCACGTGTGGCTGGTCTCAAACCCACAGGCTCTTGCTAAGTAAGGGTACTGACCTTTTCTGTCTCATTGCATCTTCTTGTGGCCTTCTGTTTCCTCTCTGTAGCTATTTTAATTTTGAAGTAGAAACAATGATAATGGCTAACATTTCTTAAAGGATTACTGTATGCTACGACCTACGTTAAACACCTTGTTTACATGGTCTCATTTAAACCACACAACAACCCCAAGTGATAAGAAGGAAGTACTGTTTTTCTGGGCAAAAGGTTCCAGTGACCTGCCCATGTTGACACTGTCCAGGAAGAAGCAGAGTAAGGATTTAAGCTGAGCTCTGTCCTCAAAATTGTCAAACTCGTCGGAACTCAACAGAATATCAGAGACTATTCTCCAGATTTGACAGGTTGTCAATTTGATACAGTCCACAAAATTACATAATTTTCTACGTAAAATGAACACATACGTTCAGCTCTACCCAGGACTAATGATGGTGACAGGAAGAAAGTTAGTTCTGGAAACTCTAAGGGAAATTGTGCTTACCACACAGATTCTAGGAGTTATTCCCTTGGGTGTCAGGCTCTCTCTACATCTGGCCCACCCCTGTGTCTTTGTTTTGAGTAGAAAAGAGTGATGTGTGCTGCCATGTTTGTAATTACTGCAAATGTGACTGCTAGAAACGGCATGGAGCGAGCATCGCTTCTAAATCAATCCCTCTATTCTGTCATAGGAGTCTCGGACTCAGGAGACAACAGGGATTGAGAAAAATGTTTGTCAGCATGGCCAGCAGAATCGGAGTTCTCACTTTCAGGTTCTGAGCACTGGCCCCTGCAGCATCCTGGCTCAATACGGTATCAATAATACATGGCCTGGGCCTTCTGCACCCAAGGCCTGCTAATTGGCTAATTAAAAAGTGAAACAGCCGAGCGAGCAAACATGTAGCCCGCAAGAGACTTGTTCAGTACCAGAGCCAAGGTCAAAGTTATGTTAAAGCCGTTTTATCAAACTGACCTTGATTGTAAGTTGACTGTCGAGGTAGTCTCTGGAGCAGTGGAGGTGGCTGCAGCCTCCTCCTTGATGTCTTTGGATCTCTCATTCCACTGCTGAGATTGTCCAGGAACTTTCTGCACCAACACTGTATTAGCTTTCTGTTGCTGCTATAACAAATTCCTGCCAACGAAATGGTTCCTGCCATAAGTTTATCATCTACAGTTGTGTGGGTTACAAGTCCATCTTCAGTCTCCCGGAGTTAAAATCAAGGGTGGGCAGGGCCATGCATCTTTCCAATGGTTCTGCAGGAATGCCCATTGCTGATCCCAGTGCCTGGCCCATCTTCAGAGCCATCAGTGTGTCCCCTCTCTGACTGCATCTATCTCATATTTCTTTCCCAAACTTGTCTTCTGCCTCTTCTTTCATTTTGTTTCTTGAGATAAGGTCTCACTATGTAGCCTTGGCTGATCTGGAGCTCACTGGAGGTCTGCCTACCTCTACCTCCAGAGTATCTTTAGTTTTTAAGGACTCTGTTTACTTTGGGCCTGCCTGGATTGGATAATCCAAGCTAATCTCCCAACTTTAAGGTCACAACTTTAACTCCACTGTCATGCAATCAGTATGTTCCTAGGGATTAGGCAGTGACAGTGACTGTCAGCTATTTGGGAACCTCTCCTGGAAATGAGTTCTCATGGCTTCTGTGAAGTTGGGCACTCATTTGGATTATGCTATCTGCTGTCCCCACCCATTTAAGTACCTCTGCTTTGCTCTAGGGAGAAGAGGGCTCTGTTCTCTAGAAAAGGACAGCAGACAGCTCAGTAGAGGCAGGACCAGATACAGGTTTTTGTCAACAAAGACCAGTAGAATTAGGGCTTCACTTACGACTGGTTACCAAGCAACTAACTGTATGGCAGGGCAAGTTACATATCCTTTTAGTGTTTTAATATCTTAGATAAGTGGCCACTTTCCTCACTCCCTTGCAATTAGGGCTCAGAACGCTCCTGGTGAAAGCTTCAGTCACCTCATCTGAAAGCCACCCTTTCTTCTAAATTGAGCCATTTGTTTCCTCTACCTTATTATTAGTTGTTGCTCTTCTCCCCGCCACGGCATTCTTCTTTAAAAACCTTGTGTCTTCTACTCAGGGAGTTGAAATTTTCTTACTCATATGCAGAGGGAACCCAGGGCAGGATGCCACTGAAAACCTGGGCACAGCCCTCAGATCTCAGGGGAACACAGGCAGGGCACTGGAGTGTTCCATGGCAGTGATTCCATTTTGATATTTTTTCTCTCCAGATTGTAGATGCCTTTTTCATCGGCCGCTATGTCCTGCTGGCTTTCCTCAGCGCCATCTTTCTTGGAGGCCTCTTCTTGATTCTTACTCAACATGTGCTGGAACCAATCTATGCCAAACCACTGCGGTCCTGCTGAGTGCGGTAACGGAAACGGGACATTTTGATGTCACGGATGAGCACAGAGGCACTCTCTGGAGCCTTGATGACAACTTTCGTGTCTTCAGACCATTTCTCTGAATGACCATTTGTCACCAAAACAAACCTCTTGAGCCCTGGCTTTCAGGAAGTCAGTAGCAAAACAGACTCCGTGGGTGTAGATTGTCAGCATCCAAACACGATACAACTCTCTGTTCAGTGCCCACACTCCAGGATTCCTGTCTGTTTTGAATGGAAAGTAGTAACAGTGATCTGCTTGGGGTAGATGTTCAGTCAAGCCATCAGTAGTGGATTTAGGGAGAAGGAGTTTTAGGCTCTGCCCACCAACAGAAGATCCTGGTCCTTTTTGATAATGTGTAAGTTGTATGTTCTTAGTTGAGTGACTGGAACCATTTGGAAGAGATGAGTGGATTTAGGGAGAAGGAGTTTTAGGCTCTGCCCACTAACAGAAGATCCTGGTCCTTTTTGATAACGTGTAAGTTGTATGTTCTTAGTTGAGTGACTGGAACCATTTGGAAGAGATAGGCCTTCAGACATGAAAGGCTGCTGTAATGTAACAGCTTGGAAGGTGTGTCAGGCAGCGGTTACTGACCACTCCTTATGTAATTCCACAGAGCTCTATAAAGGCAGTGAGTGCACTTGCCTGAGTTCCAATAAAGCAATAAACAACTACCAAAGGGCTTTCTCTTCAAAATCCTGTCTACAGCTTCTGTATATGTACATTTTAAGTTTGCTTAGAGATTAGAAGAGAGGTATGCAAATGTTAGATGTCTTCCTGCCATGTGCTTTGGGTCTTCTCCCGGGGTTTGGTGGCCTGTGGATGCCTTATTTAAGTATTTACTGTCATGTAGGAGTTCTGTTTGGGCTTTGGCCCTTTCTTTTCCCTTTTCCCTTGGTAGTACTGCAAATTGAACCCAGGGATTCACACATGACAGGCAAGCATTCTACCCTCCTATCCTTCTGGGATTTTAGGCTTGAACCATCAGGCTTGACTCTTACCTAGTTTGTCAATTGGTTAGTTGGTCGGTTGATTTGAGACAGGGTCTAACTAGGGTCCCTGGGCTGGCTTGAACTCTTGATCCCTTTGCCTCGGCCATCTTGACTACTAGGATTACAGGTTGCCCCAGTGCCTGCCTCTCTGTTTTCATCTCAGAAGTTCTTTCTCCAACGTTAGTAAGGAATCTATATTCTCAGCATTATAACTTACATTTGTCTGACTTCCTAGATCAATAAAATTTGTCACTAAATGGGGTGGAGCCTGGTCTGGTTCTGCTTTGGAAGTGCCATCCTGTCTCCCCAGAGTGAGTGAAGAGGGGTCTTCTAGTGTGAGAGCCTGAAGCCATTGGAAAGGTGCCTGCTAGATGCCTGGGCTGTACTGACTCCTTTGAGACTTTAGTTTTATAGCAGTCTATTTGTTATGATTGCTCCTACTTTTAAATAGAAAGATCCTGAGGTTTAAGGTGATGAACTCACTTAGGCTTAACACAGTAGCCAGTTGGCAAACCTAGATGTAGCAGAATCCACTCTCTCTCACAAAAGAGGAAAACCATCTTTGGTTGAGAACTTGAGAGAAGGTAGGACAACTTCTTTTTCCTATCTCTCCTTGATACTGTTGTTGGGGTATAGGAAAAACCCAGTTCCACTGCCTCATGGGAGCTCAGCCTCAAATGACCAGAGGCCAGAACCAGTGACTATTGGGAATCAAGGCTGGTGAGGACCCATACAGTTGTGCACTTGAACTGGCTCCTCTATCTTCTTTAACTTTGGGGAAATTTCCAGGTACAGTTTTATTCAGAAACTTTTGAATGAAATGGGATTCTTAGTCTGGCCTAGGGCCCATGGGGAAGAAATAGAAAACATTGCTCTGGGAATGGAGAGGAGAGGGGAACATGTGGAAACTGTGAGGGAGGTGGGCAGTCTGGAGCTCAGGCCCCTTAACAGTACCTAAAAGCTTCCAGGGGCCTTGTGAGCCTTCCAACAGGGTGCCTTAGCCAGCCCAAGCAGAGCACCAACCCTGACAATCACAGACTGCCATGTGCCTCTCCTCCCGAGAAGCTTGTTGCCAAGGTAACTCTGGAAGGGCCTATAGAGGTTCCTGGAAATGGATCTGTCTTTCTCATTCCTTTGCAATGTGTTTGGGGGCTCTGATCCCTGCTCTAGTTCATAAATGATTTAGGGTTACCACTTCAGAGGGAGCAATGCTACAATGGCATCAAAGACCCATTGAGGGTAAACTTCCAGTCAAGAGAGGGGAGACTTAACATCCCAGCTGGGCTGGGTCAGTCACCTGGCCAAGGGATCAGTCCTAGGACAGCAGGTTCACTTGAACCATACTAACGAGATTGTTTGAATAGTGATCCTTTTAGTGAGATGCTATACTTAGCTAGGTCCCCTCACCTCTAGGTACTGACTCAGAAAGAGGCAACTTTTTCTTTCTCCTCTTTCTTTCACATGTTGGTCAGAACCCAAGTATGCTTTTTCTGATGGTTTGGGCTTCCTTACTCCTTCTCTGAAGCCCTCGCTCTCCCTGCCATGTGGTGCCACCTGCCAGTCCTGGGCGAATGCTGGTCTCACAAAGCTTTTTTCTTCTGTTATTTTCCTCCTCTAGGCAGCTGCTTAGCCTAGAGTTTTGTCTTTTAAATTCAAATGAAATTGTCCTTGATCTTAAAAATAAAAGCCTGCAAAACTGGGGCTAGAAAGATGGCTTGGTGGCTAAGAGCACTTCCAGAAGTCCTGAGTTCAATTCCCAGCAACCCCATGGTGGCTCACAACCATCTGCAGTGGGATCTGATTCCCTCTTCTGGTGTGCATGAACAGCACGTAAATTTCAGTTACAGAAAATAATCTGGAAATGCGTTGATTATCCTAGATGGAATGGGACTGGAAAGGACATTTTATAGTTGATAGAACTGAACCTTTAATTTGGTGGGATCTGATTCCCTCTTCTGGTGTGCATGAACAGCACTCATATACATAAAACACATAAATAAATAAATCTTTAAAAAAAAACTCTACAAAACTAAACAATAAAAGGTGTCTATAAAGTCAGTAAATAATAGCTATGAGATTTCAGTTATCTATATAGGAATTTGGTAAAGGTGAAAAAAAAAAAACTAAATTCCTTCCCAGATATCATTTCTGCACAATTTTTTTAAATTGGTGTAAATGACAGGCTTATATATTAAGAGCTGGCTTTATACAGTGTAGACACAAACACCCATGTGTACACATACACCATGTGAGGTATTTAAGCTCGGCTTGCCTTCTACAGTTCTTATCTGTAATAACTAGTATGGTGAGATGAAATGATTACTTCTTACATACTCAAGATAATCATGTCCAACCTTAAAAAAAAAAAAAAAAGAAATCCAAAAGTGGAAAGCTGAATCAAACAATGAATTTCACAGATGTCAACATGGGGCATCTCTACAGTGATGCCTGATGCATCCCTCCCTGTTTGGAGTCTGCCTGGAAACAGGGCTTCAACATGGGGCACCCCTAAAGTGACGCCTGATGTATCTATCCTTATGTTCCTGGCCTGTCTGGAAACAGGGCTTTCATAGGGTTAGCCCTCAAATGCCAGCCCAAATCATCTCAGTGTCCATTAGCCATTCTTTCTACAGGGCAGGCCGTGCTGTTTGTTCAGTCCAGAAAGACTAGCGATTCCCCAATATTTGGAAAGTAAAAAAGAGAGGAAATCTATGAGAGAACAAGTCATTCCATAGCCTTCCAGGATGGTATCCTGATGAGCTAAAGCAGAAGGACCCTCCCAGCTCCATTACAAAAGACTGTTTGTCCGGTCAGTTAAGTGATATTGTGTAATATTTTAGAAATGCTTCAAACCAGCAAAGCATACTGAGTATTGTTTTGATAAGCAACGTAAATTTCTCACTGGTAAAAAGGAAGAAAAACTAGATTCTTTCCTGCTCCAGGGTTTCGGATAATGAATGTAAAAATGCACTAGAGGAATTATGTCCGTGCTCAGGCACTGGGAGCACGGCGGTTCCTTAATCCATGGAGCACATTCTGCACTTCAGCCCTGATGAGTGCTGGTGGGGTGGGGCAAGGGAAGGATCAGGATGGAGGAATCCAAGGTATTTTCAGTGTTACTATTCTAATACATTAATCAATGTCCTGTTCTGCTCTTCAAGACCTAAGCTTTTCTATCAACTCCGCTTCATTGCTGCCGAGGCTAAGAAGGTCTATCTGATTCTCAGTGTGCAGAGAAACATGCTGTTCCTTCACAGATGAGAAACAGGCAGAGAAGAGGACGGGATGGGAAGTTCACAGCTAGTAGTAGTGACTCTCAGACTCCATATACTAGCACCAACTCCCCATGCATCTCTTGCACCTCATGTAACAGTTTAAAGATCAACTTTTGCTTTCAAATAACCCCTTAGTTTTACATCGGTTAGCTGTTGGCACTCACCCCTTTCCTAACTCATATCTGTAAAGTCCTATTGAACTACTAACATTGATAGGAACAAATGACAAACATGTCAGTCCAGCCTTTGGCTTAACCAGACATAAAAATCAGATACAGAAAATAATCTGGAAATGCGTTGATTATCCTAGATGGAATGTGACCATTTGGGACTGGAAAGGACATTTTATAGTTGATAGAACTGAACCTTTAATTT